CACAACCGACCGGATCTACATCCACGCTGCCGTCATCTGTCGAACTCGAACTACCACCCCTTAACACGCCACCGGCTCCTACGCAGCCGCCACAGCCTGTACCACCACCTACTCAACCCAACACACCTAAACCGTCTACAGCATCCCAGATACCACGCCTTACACCTCGAACAGAGTTGTATCCAGCTCCGCCAATCCCGCCAAGTGCACCGGTCAAGCCTGAATTCAAAGGCAAGGCCAAAGCCTCACCATATCGTGTCATCGCCCCTCCACCACTCCAGCCAAATCCCAACACCACCTCGTGGGACTACAATCCCTTCTCCAATCCTGAGCATGCCACGACGTCGTTAGGCGTCCGCCGCGGTACCCGCGAGCGTAAGGCAACTCAGAAATGGACGAGTATTTGGCCCGGAGCGACCGAAGCGGACATCGAGAAAGCACTGAACACAGGCAAGGAACCGGGCGACATCGCTGCGATCGTAGGCGACTCCTCCATTGCTGGAGAGCCGCGAACCTACAAACAAGCAGCTGACGCCCCGGATTCAGTGGAGTGGATGACTGCCATGCAGGCCGAAGTCACTGGCCTTCTGGAACAAGACACCTGGGAACTTGTCGACCTACCTAAGGGTCGCAAGGCAATCAAGTGCAAATGGGTATACGTTGTCAAGCGCAACGAGAATGGAGAAGTGGATTGCTACAAGGCAAGGCTCGTAGCCAAGGGGTTCACGCAAGTTCAAGGCATCAATTACGAAGACACCTTTGCTCCCGTCACCCGTCTGGAGTCCTGGCAATACCTCATCGCCCTAGTGACCATCCAAGACTGGGAAATCCATCAGATCAACTTTGATAGAGCATATCTGAACGGAGAACTCAACGAGGAGCTCTACATGGAGCAACCTGAAGGTTTCGTAACGGACGCAGGCAAAGTATGCCGCCTGCGGAAAGCAATATACGGGTTAAAGCAAGCGGGATGAACATGGTTCCTCACGCTCAAAGCCTGTCTCGAGGACATTGGATTTGCATGCCACGACGCCGGTGACGTATCCATCTTCATTCACCGTCAACGAGGGGGATCCACTCAAATTCTTGTGGTTTACGTTGACGACCTAACTATGATGGGAAACAGCCTCGATCTCATCCAACAAACGAAAGAGGCACTGAAGGAAAGGTTCCAACTCAAGGACCTTGGCAAACTCAAGTACTACCTCGGCATCCGTGTCACGAGGGATAGGGGGAGTCGAGCTACATACCTCGACCAGGAAACGTACATCGAGTCCGTTCTCAAACGATTTGGATATGAAGACTGCAACCCTGCGTCCACACCACTCGGCACTGACATCGTACTCGAGAAGAACGAGGAAGACCCTGCGGACTGTCCACAAGACCGCATCAAGCTCTACCGCTCACTCCTCGGCTCACTCATGTACGCCATGCTCGGGACTTGCCCCGACATCGGCTTCGCCGTCGCCCGACTTTGCTAATACCAGGCAAACCCTTCACCAAAGCACGTAGCTGCTGCCTATCGTGTTCTCAAGTACCTCCGCGGCACCTCCAACTATTGACTCTGTCTAGGTCAGAACGACGAGACTGATAGCCGTTTGCTCAGTTACACCGACGCAGACTTTGCGAACGACAAGGACAACTCCGTCTCAACATCCGGCTGGGTTTACAAACTCGGTAGAGGCGCAACCAGTTGGTCTTCTCGCAAGCAACGCTCTGTGGCTCGAGACACCTTCGACGCAGAGTACTTTGCAGCCGACGAAGCAGTCCGACATTTACAGTGGCTCGAAATCTTCGCTGAGTACATCGAACACCCACTCACGAAGCCTGTCCCTCTCCACTGCGACAATAAATCTGTCGTTGACGCTGCCCAGTCACCCAACGTCAAGCATCGCACAAAACACACCCGCGTCAAAGCTCACGCTGTTCACGAGCAATTCGAAGCAGGTCTGATCGAACTCGTTAGGATTCCCGGTGTCGACAATCCGGCTGATATTCTCACAAAGCCTTTACTGGCTGAGGTACACAACTGTCACACCCAGTCTCTTGGCCTCGTTCCGTATCGCCTCGCCAAGAGGGAGTGTTGAAGCGCCTAGTGGCTCTGGCTCGGCGTTCCGCCTGGCATGGACTTAAGGTGGACATTTTAGATTAGGCGCTGCTAATACGTAGATAGTGATTGGACAATCATATGTAGTGCTCCCACGCACGGACCTCTTTATGGCAGGCTTCCCCATTCCAGCGGACTTTCAATTTTGCTTCCTTTTAGTATATAAGGACTCCTCTCGCATCCCCACTCTGCGTGCTCTTTCCCTTCGCACTCAGAGTAAGTCCCCTTCGTTGCCCTTGCGCATTATGTAGTATGCTTACCAGACCCCTGTCTAGCTAACACCGTGTGTATTAGGTATATAGCTATACAGCGTGCTCTTTCCCTTCACACTCAGACTAACACCGTGTGTATTAGATCGTGCCCGCGTGCCACTCGCCAGTTCGCGCTCGCGCAGCCCAGTCGTCGTATCACGACAATACAACAGCCATGCCCGCATTCTCCACATAATAGTACTCGTTGCCCACGGTGCGAAGAAGGATTACGCGAAGAACTAGTAACAAGGGTAAACACCGGAGAACCTGCCTCAGCCGGTTGCCACGTCATACTCAGGAATATCTGCTTGCACTGCGCAAAGTGTTTAACACCACCTATGGTAGGGCAGTGTACGATTCTAATTGGACGGAGCTCTGTCCAGCCGCCTAAGGGCTGGTGATTACAGAGGTGGCTTCGGGGTGTGTGATATGGTAAAAATGCGCAAGTGCACAGGGAAGGGTTCCAGGGGTCTTGATGCGGTAGAGTCGATAGGGTTAGGATTGGGGTGAGATTTCGGTTAGATAAATGAGATGGATCGTCGTGTGGAGCTAGGTGATGGTTGGTGTGAGAGTGACGAGGATTGTCGTAGGGCAGTTGGTGGAGACTCGAGCTAATGTCAGCAACCTACAATCCAACTGGACTGGGCTACGACAAAGCTGAGGAGACAGACGAGAGGAGAATAGGTGAGGAAAGACCAGCTCGAGTCTGGCTTGTTATTGAGCAGTATGAGCTCCTTATATACATGACAGACTGAATATCTAGAATATCCTACGAATATACGGAGGTGTATAGAAAGTGAAAGAATACCATGGAATCCAGGAGAACCATCCGGAATGTGTAATATTCATGACAAAAGGTCTGTGCCAATAGCAAGCTGAGCAACCCTTGGAAGAATATATGTCAAAGAACACTTTACCTTATGGTGTATTGTGAATTTTCTGGATAGTCTCCCCAGGCTATCTTCCTGGGCTGCATCGGCTTGGTCAGTTCAAAAGAGTTTAAAGTGAAATGGTGCACACCAACTGAACGCTAGTCCACTCAAGTGCCTACATGTTCCGTCGCGTGAGCTCCCACATGTCGCGGCTTGGGCCATTTCGCTGCCAGCGCGTCTCACACACCGAGCTCCTTCTTTGGCTCGTTCATGTCCTGCTCTCGCCGTCTCTCCCAATACACCGTGTTCAGGTTCTGCGCGCTGCTCCTGCAATTGATCGCCCACGGTACATACTCCCGGAACAGTCGGGCTCGCCTTGCAGAGCTCGGACGTGACGTCTGAGTAATCTTTGTAGATTATTTGGTCTTACTACAGCCGTTCAAACAGGCCTTTGACTACCACAGGGAACGTGGAGGATCTAAATATGGCGCTTTGCTCCTCAATGAGGTTATCGCGGGCAACCCATTATGCTTGACAGACAGCTGCCCAACCCTCAAACGGGTTAGTGCCCTAGATTTTGCTCATGACAATGCCACTGTACTCAGGCGTAGCATAACAGCCACCGTCGGGCTACGACTCTGTGCAAGTTATCCCTGGGCGGTCCCTGAAATACGATGAATATGTCGGTGCGTCCTGCTTGCTTATGATTGCATTGTATGTGCTCACTCCTTTCGGGCACCAGTTTACACGGTAAGTGGGCGTGTCGGTCCCAACTTCAAGCCGTGCCAATGATATCAACGAAACAGGAAGCGGCGATTAGGCCGGTATATCTTCTCCTTTTCAAGTGATCCTCTGTGGACAACATAAACTACTTCTCCCTGCTCTCGCGCTACGGAGTCAGGCCTTTCCTATCACCTATCTCTCTCGCGAACAGAGCCAGCGAACTTGTGCAGCGATAATCGTGGGAGCGAGCCTCCTACGAATGTGGATATTGAGGAGAACTGAATAGGCCGCAGCCCTGTCGTACTAATATTCCATGAAAGACGGTGCGCTATAGGCTTAGGTTTGACCATCAGAGATGCCGAGATATTCCAGCCGCAGCTCTCAGTGCGCGGAATGCTATCCCGTCGTGTGCCTCTCCGGGCCTTCAATGCCCCTGCCGTTATTCTAGGGCTTAGCTGCAGCGGCAATTGACAAGTAGCGATGAAAGACTTGCGATGGAAGGCTCCTTGGGACGACATGGGTGGATAATAGCACGCGGCTGGCGAAGGGATGCCTTGTACAAGTAAAAAGCACCATCTATTCACTGCTAGCACCTTGGTTGATGTAGGGATAATCGGGACAGTGTACAACTCCGAGTCAAACTTGGAAACATCGTGGAGTCGGAGCACGGGTTGCATGTCGGGGATCGATAAGATAAACGCGCGGCTTGATCCGGTTCGCTATAGACCGCGATGTTCACTTCTTCTCGTCCTCTCTTCTCCATAACCTCTCTGCTATGTCTTTTGTCGTCGAGATGATCAACCCCGCTAACAGCCTTGTCGCCTCAGCACTCAAATTGGCGGCCTCTGTCCCCATCCACTCTTGGTCAAGGCTTTGAGAACAACCAGTGGTTAAGCCTCAGCATCCTCACTACTGCCCTTGCCGCCGCAATCGATGGCCTCTTCACCATCAAGATGCAGAGGCAAAAAATCGTCTGAAGTGTAATCCATTACTTTATAATGGGTCTCGGTGCGTCGCCCTGCTGCGTTCCGCCCCTCTCTTGTGCTGAACCGTTGCGCCTAGGTATCACCGCTAACAACCGCCATCTGTAGGTGCACCAGTCCCATGAAACCTCGAAGCCTCCAGAGCACTTCTTCGTGATCGTGGGTACAAACATACTCCAAGGCTCCGATCAAGTGATGGTGGTACCGCAGTCCTCACGCCCTCCGCCGCTACACCGACACTGACATCGGCCTGCACAATATGCCCGAGGACTTCTGGCACTCAAACATTGGCTGGACGATTGTCAAGCCGCGATACCATCTCGGTGTGGCCAAAGTCAGTGACCTGAGCAAGGACCCTGTCATTCAGTGGCAACACCCGCGGTACGTCTGGTTGCTCCTCGGCTGTGGTTCGGTCTTGCCTACCTTGGTTGTCAGGTTTGGCTGGGGCGGCTAGACGAGCAGATTCTGGTTCGCGGGTACTGCTCGCTTGTGCTTCGTTCACCTCGTACGCGACTCTGCCTTTATACGCATATATGCATATGTTTACCTCCTACCTAGTCTATTTTTGTCACCGCACTCGTCACCGTCGGCGAAGGCTACGGTAATTTCTATCACCAGTCCCCGATAGACTACGGAACGCGATTAGACGGTACCGGTACAACCCAGCGAAGTGGTTCATCTGGGTGTGCGCGGAGCTTGGGCTCGCGAGCCGCCTGAAGATCTCTCCCGAGGGCGGAGTCAAGAAGGGCTGGCTGCCAACGCAGTTAAAGTGACTACGCGCGACACAGGACGACTTTGTATGGGCGCCGAACGTGCAGGAACTGCTGCTGATCAACTGGGAGAGCTGTGCGTTTAACTATGATGTTTTGCACTACCCGGCGACGTTTACTAACGCGCATACAGTGCGCTCGTCGTCATTGCCAGCTTCGTCCACGACATCGTCAGCCTCGGGTGTGCGCCACCTGCCGGTGAAATACATCAGCAAGGACGCGACGACGGCGTTCTTAGGCAGGGCCTTCGGCCACTCAAAGGTGGCACACGACGTGAGCATGACTCACATCTATCGCCCGTGTGATTTTGCTGATATCGAAGTCATATTTGCTGTCGATGAAGCGCGTCGGGATCTTGCACGGTGGCAAACAAGCACGGCCTGCGAGACAAGACGGTCCCGCCCGCGCAGCGGCTCCGCATTGTGCGATGCAACGAGCTTGACGGCTCTCCGTACTACTCGTCGAGCGCGGTCTCGGGGTAATGAGGGCATGTTCGGCTAAGCTGCGTTCTTATATACTCTTGTAGTTCGTTCCATGCATACGGGTCGTGGAGCTCGTTTACTCGGACCACTGTTATTGTAATATACATGGGTCACACACTCTGCTAAGTGGTTCACGTTCGGCGGAAATGAGTCCACAACACAGGTTATCCGGCTAAGGGAATGACAGGACAGGTCGCATATCGAAGCTTACGACCACAGGTTCGTCCGCTTTAACGAACTCGACGTCGTCTTCTGCTGCCCAGTATCTGCTGTTCCCTGCACGATAACATCGCCCAGTCCAAAGAATTGGTCAAAGAGATAGTCGTCCTTGC